CCACGGACTACTGTTTATTTATTTGATTGTCGCCACAGTTTCCGATATCTAATGATAACCAATTAAATTTCATTTAATGTGTGTTTTTACCATCAATTAACATTATTTTATTGCGTGTTTATGCTGGTTTTACTTTGTAGTGTTGTTTATACTTATTGTATTTAATATTCTATTAGTATAATTTTTTATTTTTTAGTGTTAATCATTTTATTTTATTTTATTTATTTTTTTATTAGCTTACATAAGTCAATGGTATCCTTTTTACCAAACTAGTAGTTTTTTATTCTCACAACAGGAAAATGATTGAATAAATAAATAAATAAATAAATAAATAAATAAATAAATAAATGAATAAATGATTAAATGAGTAAATGAATAATTGAATAAATGAATAAATGCATAAATGCATAAATTAATAAATTAATAATTGAATAAATGAATAAGTGAATAAATGAATAAATGAACAAATGCATAAATGAATAAATAAATAAATAAATAAATAAGTAAATCAAAAATCGCCTTTATGCAGCAAAGCTAATGCAATTTTTACAATGTTTTCATCATATATAGATATGTAAAAATCTGTTATAAATTTACACAGTCCTTTCTGAGTGTGTAATAAATCAGTCCCAAAACGCCTGTTTCCCAACTTAAGATTCAATTAACCCGCTATCGGGGCCTTAATGTTAATTACAAGCCGCAGTACGCTTCCTCCAGTGATATCCTCGCAATTTATCAATATAACGCCCGAATACAATGTTACATCGTCAGGATCCAACAGATGAACCCTATACAATGGCCTGTAGGGTCGATTTTTGCAGCCGTGTCACCAATTAAACTTGGGTCATGTTAAGGGTGAAACAAGGGCGTGCGACGTTGTGGGGTGCGCTCTAATTGTCGGAAGCAACCGCCCTCGACCCCTAATGGCTTGATCCTTAATCCTGTCATTATACATCCTACGAGGACATGAAAGAAAAGGCGACGAAGGAATCAGCCCATTACTGGATCTCCGCCTCGCGCTGCGTTGCGTGGTTAGTACATATTTAGTCTATTTCAGCACTATTATGTGCGAAAGACTTGGACGGTGGAAAGAGCGGTGGAGAAAACTGGGCCTGGGGCACTTTGCTGGGGTGGAGAGGGTAGGTTTACGGTTTTAACAATATATTTTGGGTTATTTAACACTGTTTAATTATATTTTTTTTATAATTTAAGACTTCTAGAAAAATCCACCTTTTATTAACTCTTCATACGACACTATAAAAAAAATTCACTCACTTTCACTCAATTTTACTCAATAATGTATCAGTCACGTCGCTATGGTACGACATGAAAAAAAGAGTAGTTGGAATTTATTGCTTTTCAAAAAAATAGTAAACGGACTTGAAAAGATCTTGACTCTCTCAATATTCGATCTTGTAAAAATTTTATTTTGCCACCTCAGATGGCGTACCCTGAAATTAATGACTTTTTTGCTTAATATTTGCGGAATATCTCTAAAAATAATGATCACCAAATTAATTTTTATGACAATAATAAATGTGATATTAGTCTATCTTTCAAATTTGCTTTGGCTACTGTTGATGAGATTTATACCATTCTTAATAGTATCAAAACGGATGCATTTGGTGTTGATAATATATCTTCCACTAGTCCATTTATTGATCCTTATGTTACTCATATAATTAATTGCTGTATTGAGAAACAATACTTTCCTTGTTTGTGGAAAAAAGCAATACCTATACCCAAAAAAAATAATCCAAAAGCGTTCTCTGATCTTAGAATAATTAGTATATTACCTGCGCTTTCCAAAATTTTTGAAAGATTGTTATTTAATCAAAGAGCGACCGAAAAAAAGCCTAATTTTTCGCCCCTTTGTGAGACCTCGTAAATTTACTCCAAATGTGTGCCAAAAGATAGTCTATGATGAGACTTGAATCGTCTATAAGTTTTAGCTTGAGGCTACATTTCGTTTTCGAGTTTCGGTTGATTAAAGTTGTCATTTTTACATGGATTGCTGGATCGAGGTTACACCGCTAAAAAAAAATCGCTTGTACTTCACATGTGGCATATGTATTCCGAAGTACTTTTTCGCGCTGAGCACGAATTTGCTATTAGAATTGCTTCATCACCCTTCGGTCTTCATGAAATGACTGAAAAGCTTCAGAAATATGAAGAATTTCGAAGATTCCAAGATTAATTCTTTGACTTCCAAATGACCTGTAGTCATAGAGATTAACGAATCTTTGATTTTAAATCAATGATTTCGTCAACCTTTCTGGGAAAGGTTTCTGAAGACCTTTCCCAGAATCTGAAGTCATAGAGATTAACGAACCTTTGATTTTAAATCCTATAACAATCCATATAAAAATGACAACTTTAATCAACCGTAACTTGAAAACAAAATGCAGCCTCAAGCTAAAACTTATAGAGGATTCAAGTCTCATCATAGACTATCTTTTGGCACACATTTGGAGTAAATTTATGAGGTCTCACAAAGGGGCGAAAATTTCGGTCGCTCTTTATGACTATTTTGTAAATAATAGTTTCTTACCTTAATCGTAATGTGGCTTCAGGAAAGGGTATAGTACTTCAACTGCTCTAATTACCGTCACTGGTGATTTAATAAAAGCAAAGGACAGGGGACGAGTTAGTGCTTTAGTTTTATTGGACTTCTCTAAAGCCTTTGACGCAATTAATCCTAATAGTCCAGGAAAATTAGACGAAAATAGGGCCGAACCTCGGAATTGCATAAAGAAGGTTCGATTTTGATGGGACAAAGTGCGTTCTCTTCGTAATTGCATGTACATCAAAGTCTACAACTTCTCATGCGGCGCTAATTTGTTTATTTATAAATAATCAGTTATAATTAACAAATAATCGTATTTCGGATATTACATGGCGTGGAAACGGCCAATCTTGATGCGGTAAAGCTCATTCTTCTTATTATTAGTTGTACTTTAACTGTAAAGGACCCCCACCGATCTTCATTTGTTTATCGGTTTTTATTTGATTGTCATAAACAAATTAGACGTGATATCTGCAGTCGGGAGTAGGACTAGCCGATTTGGACGGGATGAACGTGGTTTTATATAGAATGTTCAAGACCCTAATGCAGGAAGTGAATTCTCAAAAAGCTGAAGACCATATAGAACATGAATAATTATGAATAAATGTTATCCACTTCTCTTTGATTAAAAATTATCCATTCTAAGTCTTAGTTACAGATTTCACGTGTAATTTTTTTATAATGATTAATTAGTAAAAAGAAACAAATGAAGATCATTCGGACCTTAACGGTTTTGGAATATCCCGGATGATGATCAAAGTGACTTATTCCATAAAAACCAGACTTCTCGTCCAGCTCACAGATAACAGCCCGAATTTGTATATACTAATTCATTGAAGATCAATGAACAAATGAAAATCAGACTGCCTTTAGTGGCCCTTAGTGGTTCTGGATCACCTTGTAATCCAAGTACGAACAGAGCGTCGATTACCGCGTGAAAATCCCCCCCCCCCAGTCCGATTGGCTAATTTGTTCTTAATGATCGAATAAAAATCAATAAACAAATGAAGATCGGTGGGAGTCTCCCAAAGTAAGGTACAACTAATCAGAAGAAGAATGGGCTCTACTGCATCAAAATTGGCCTTTTCCAACCCACGTAATATCCTTAATACGCTAATTTGTTATTAATAATTGTTAATAATTGATTATTAATAAATAAATAAATTAGCGCCGCATGAGACGTTGTAGACTTTGACCTACATGCAATTACGAAGAGAACGCACTTTGTCTCATCAAAATCGAACCTTCTTTATCCAATTCCGAGGTGAAATGCTAATTTTCCTGGACTATAAGGTTCTTTTTTCTAAACTTGAGTACTATGGGTTTGATGAAGCGACTTTTGATCTTATTAATTCTTATTTACATGGAAGATCTCAACAGTTATGTGTTAATAACACTTTATCTAATAGTTTAGAAATACTTTCTGGTGTACCCCAGGGGTCAATTTTGAGTCCCTTACTTTTTATAATTTATACTGCTTTCATTTTAGAATCATTTCAACAATGTAAAGTACAAGCTTATGCTGATGATACTCAACTATATTATCATTTTGATATTAATGTTCTGGATAAAGCGTGCAATATTGTCAGCTCTGAGTTACAAACTGTAAGGCAATAATGTGATGTAATTTAAAATTAAATTCTAGCAAATCAAAAATAATTTTTTTTGGTACTAAGAAAAATGTACAAATATTAAGACTCAACTTTAATATTATAATTGATGGTATTCCAATTCCTATTACTGACAGTGCAAAAAATCTGGGAGTGACTCTTGACAGTCACTTACTGTTTAATCAGCATGTGAAAACATTACTGCAAAAATCTTATTCTTCGCTTAGATTAATAATAATTTATAGTAGTCCTCATATTCTTTATAAAAGATTTAAAATTATGTCATGTGAGTCCTTTGTTCTTTCCTATTTTAATAACTGTGATTATGTCTATGGTCCATGCCTTAAAGTAATCATTTTTTAATACCTAACGACTTGCCACAATAATACGAACTAACATTTTTGGAAGCTCTGACTTCATTAATAGCTCGACAGGCACTTTTTATAATTATTTGCAAATTCGCAAATTCATCGTGTGAATTTTTTATATATTTAATTGTATTATCCAAATATGACTTAAAACATATTCATATTTTTACGTGGTCTAGTTTAGTGACCTAACTGAAAACTGTATTTTAATATCAAACCATTTTCAAGAAAGTGTGTAAAATAAATATACATAACTAAAATAATAAAACTTAATCAGTGTGTACTTCAAAAATCAAGCGCTGTTTTTATTTTTATAGCAGAGAAACATTGCGATGGTTTGAACACCTTGTACAGGGCTAAGAAAAAAAATTCTATATGAATTCTTTTATTAATTATACGAAATATGGAGTGATAATATTATTTCTTATTAGCAGTTTGTAAGATTTTTTATTTCAGGTTGTTGCGGGCTCAGGCGTAAGAGGATGGCTGGATGGTTCTTCGGAGCACCAAAATTGGCTGAAACTTATTCAGAGCACCCCAAACAAGAACCAGGCTAACGTACGACATTTCCTACAGAACGGACAGGTCAGTGATAATTCTTTTCTGTATGGAAGAATACTAATAACAAATATATATAT